ATGTTTCAATTTAATTCAATATCATATAACAATTCTCTAATCAATTATAAACTAATCAATATAAATTATATTACAGCGAGTGAGTATTTAGATTCATAATTATCTCAATCAATGTTTCAATTTAATTCAATATCATATAACAAGTCTTTAATTAATTATCAATAATAATTTTTTAGAAAGTGTAGCGAATGTCATCAAAATACTACTGGAAATAATTGGTGCCATCCATGTAATGCTAAAAGATTTCAAAATGAGTTTGATAAATGGACAGGTAACAATAGAGAAATTGATAAATTTATTCAACAAATACAACTAAAGGCAGATAATAGTCGAGAAATTATTGAGTGGATTCCATTTGATAAACTTGAGAATGACAAATACCTTGCTAAAGGAGGTTTTAGCACAGTATACAAAGCAAAATGGCTTGATGGACCTATTCTTTATTTTAAAAAAAAATGGAACAGATCTGGAGAAATAGATGTTTGCTTAAAAGTTCATGATAATTCCAAAAATCAAATTGATTTTTTGCAAGAGGTAAATATTTCATTATTTAATTTTTATTATATGCATGTGTATATAATAATTATATTTTATATTAATAAATATTTTAGATTAAAAATCAACTCAAATTACGAGGAAAAAATGTAGTTGCAATATATGGCATTACTAAAAATTCAACAGAAAATAAATATATGATGGTTATGAATTATGCAAAAAATGGCAGTATTCGAAAACTGTTGAATAACAAGTTTGAAGAATTAACTTGGAGAAGAAAATACAGTATTTTATTAAATATTGTAGATGGACTTAAAAATATCCATGAAATGAGTTTAATGCATAAAGATTTTCATTCCGGTAATATAGTTAATCAAAATTTAGATCTAAGTTATATTACAGATTTTGGATTGTGTAAACCAGTTTCAGAAAATGATACAGAAAACATTTATGGTGTAATTCCATACATGGCACCTGAGACATTGAGTAAAGGAGAATACACTCAAGCATCTGACATTTATTCTTTTGGTATGGTTATGTATGAGGTTCTAACTAGTTATCCACCATATTATAATATTCCACATAATGAAAAACTTACAATGGGCATTTGTGAAGGACTTAAACCTGAAATTAAGTGTGAAATTCCTAAATTTCTCAAAGAAATAATGGAAAAATGCTGGAATTTTGAACCTCTCAATCGTCCTACAGCTAAAGAATTGAAATCTCAACTTGATAAATATCTTTCTTACGATAGTGAAGTGAGAAAACAAGTAAACAAACAAGTTAATGCAGCAAATAAATCAAACAAGAATTTTATTCAATATGATCCAAATGAAATGCATCCTGAAGCAATATATACAAGTAGACTTATATCTAAACTTACAGAGCCTGAATGTGATGAATATGATACATCTAGTAAGTATATTTTGTAAGAAATAAATTTCATTCACTTTTTTTTCTAAAAAATGTTTATATTAACTATTTATATAGATTCAAGACAGCAATTTTTTTCAATTCCTGATAATATAATTGGTAAATTTATTTCTTAAATTATTTTGCTTGATATATTTAATTGAAAAGTTATAAACTATATTTTAATTTTATAGTTGAAAGCGATGAAGAAAATGATCCGACCCATCTAAAAAAATCCAATCCGGGTCACATGACAGTTTGACGATAGACCATCCGGGATTAGTTCAAAAAAAGCACCCACCCGGGTAGCAAATATTAAAAATAAATATATATATATATTTTACATATAAAACCATAATTGACATAAATCAATTTGTATTTTACATTACTTATGTCCAAATTTTGCTATTTCGTTTTAATAAACATTAATTTGCTGTTGCAACCGATTCCTTTTAGAGGTAATTTGAACTGAAGTAGCCGGAATTGACAAGTATTTACGGCTATTCTACTTAAAATAGGAAAAGTATGTTGATTTGTACGCCACCCAACCATAAATATCAGCTGATTCAGTAAAACTGTTATTTGTGAATTTCATTTACTTTGATTATTATTACTATTATCTTTTTTATAAAACGAGGAGTTTCAGTTTCTTCATGACATGTTTCTAATTCATCGGTTACAATATTATTTTGCCAAAATTTAAATTCGACATATGGCAAATTAATCGTTTCTTTTCGTATTTCATCAGGCCACACACTCATTAATTTTAATCGTGGATCTAATAGAGTAGCCACTAGTCTAATATCTTCTGAATCTCGCCAGTAGTGCCATAAATAACCTCGAAGCTTTGAGATTATTGTTGCAGGTACAAATAATCTTTCTTTATTAACCTTCATCATTAAGACCTTCGTTAAAATCTTAATCTGGATTTTAAAATAAAATTAAATATAAAATTATTTTTATTTACTAGCGGTGAGATCCGTTTAAGACTTATTCGGATGTCCGCGCAGATATCCGGATATCCGGATAGGTAGTTTGGTAAACGGATAATTTTTCCGGATAAACGGATATCCTCGGATATATCTGCGGACATCCGAATATATCCGCGGATATCCGTATTTATCCGTGTTTATCTGTTTTTATCCGTATATATATCCGTGGATAAAAAAAATATTTCGCACGTGATATAATATTATTTTTTTTATAACAATATAAGAATCAGAAATAATCATCGATGGTTACAACATATAAAACATTTTATTTTAATAAGTAAATGTCAAAAACAGTACTAAGTAATCTCGAAGATAAGAATGATTTGCATATTATATTAAAAGAACAGATTTATATTATTAAAATTGAGAGAATTATTAGCGGTTAAATTTTGAACGGACGAAAAAAATTTAAAATGACAATTGTTCACTCAATCTTGATGATATAGGTCTATCTTTTAAATATAATATGCAATTCATTCTTGTTTTTGAAGTTACTTAGTACCGTTTTTGACATTCACAACAATATAAAACGTTTTATATGTAGCAACGATCGGCGATTTTGTATATATAATTGTTATAATTATATATAAAAATAATAATTACAACATAATTATATATACAAAATCGTCAATCGTCGCTACATATAAAACGTTTTATATTCTTAGTAAATATCAAAAATAGTATTAAGTAACGTCAAAGATAAGAATGAATTGCGTATTATATTTAAAGGACAGACGTTTAACTTAAAAATTGAGCGAACAATTATATTATAAAATATTTTGCCCGTTCAAAATTTAACGGCTAATAATCCTCTCAATTTCAATTATATAGATCTGTTATTTTAATATAATACGCAAATAATCCTTATCTTTAAGGTTACTTAATACTGTTTCTGACATTTACTTATTAAAATAAAATGTTTTATATGTAGCAACCATCGATGATTATTTCCGATTCTTATATTGTTATAAAAAAAATAATATTATATTGCGCGCGAAATAATTTTTTTATCCACGGATATATATACGGATAAGTACGGATAATCACGGATAAAAACGGATAAACACGGATAAAAACGGATAAACACGGATAAAAACGGATAAACACGGATATATACGGATAAGTACGGATAATCACGGATAAAAATGGATAAACACGGATAAATACGGATATCCGCGGATATATCCGGATGTTTAATTACGGATATCCGTATCCGTGATAAAGCTTCACGGATATCCGTTCGCGGATAAACGGATATCCGGATCCACCACTAGTATTTACAACAGGTTAATAATATGCAATATTTTATAAGTATAAGCGAAATGGAAAATATCATAATAATTATACTAGATAATAGTTTAAATAGTTTTTATTTTATTTTATAATTATATTAGTAATAAAATTTAGGAAAATAAATAAAGAGTCATTACATAAATCTAAAATCTATTTCTACTTACCAAAATCATCTTCAATATATTCATCTCCAATATATTCATCTCCAATATATTCATCAGATTCATTTATAGTATAATCAACATCATTTAAACTTTAATGCTTCGATACTTGGATTAACAACTGAAAGAGTGGTATATTAAACACCACTAAAATAAGTTGTTAACTCATCAAACGATTTAAATATTTCTATCAATTCCTTTAAAAATTGCCATTCAGAATCTTTAAGCATAAGGCGGTTTAATTGAGTAGAATCTTCTTTCTTTTTGTAGAGGTAAAGTTACAGAAAGCCACTCAATTGCTGAACGCAACTTTGTGAGCCTTTGCCAAGATTGGTAAGAGGAATTCCAACGGTTTTTGTATCTGTAATTGTGCGTAAAATGGTTATTTTTTTTTATAAGTTGCCATCTCATCAGTTTTTCTTCAGGTAAGTTTTCAGATATATTTTCGAAATTATAAATTTGAATAGGTTTTGTTCTAGTGATGTTACGGTTCGCTAAATCAATTTGTGACTGGTCAAGACGTTGACACCGCCTTGAAGATCGAAAAAAATGAATAAGCTTCCGGATTCGTTTAGTATATGGATTTATAATTTTTAAAGCCTGAATAACTGTAATTTGGAGTGTGTGTGCGGCACAAGATAAACGTTTCCATCATTCGAAATTCTAATTCTTTATTATCATATATTATTTTATTTTGATCACTGGAATTATAGAGTATTACTTTTATTTAAATTAAAACAGACCAATATGTGATCATTTAAAATTAATCATTATTGTCTTATATTTCGAAAATCTAAATATTTGTAATTATTTATTATTTGTGTTTATACAGTTTATAAATTGTGCAAAGGTAAACTGAAAGTCAATATGAGCTAACTTTCTTTTTTAACTTTTATAATTGATACATAATCAAACAATACAGTTTATTAAAAATAAAATGTTATCTTATGTTCTTTTCTATCAAAAATAATAATAAATTTATTAATATCAATAAAATGTAATAAATGCAATCTATAGGTTCCCAAATTTTATCATTTTCTAATTACAAGTTATCCTGTTTAAGAATTGAAATTAATGCATCTTCAGAAAAATTTCAGGCTCAAAGATATTTGACAATAATTTATTACAAAAGTTTCGAATAATTTTAAAGTTTTTTGGTCTGATAACTTGTTGATATATCTGAGTAGTCTTAGCCATGAAGCATGACTGTTATCAAAGTGATTTTGGAGATATTCAATTAATTCATCCAATTCAAGTACATTAGAGGCAATTAAAAGATCAAAAATAATTGGATTTTATAATTTTCCAATAAATTTTCCACTATAAATATATCTAAATAATATGTGAAATTTATAAATTCTAAAATAATTTTAATAAGCTTATTGGTGTTATTTTCTAAAAAAAATAATGTATGAACTTACTTGATAACAATTTTAAATGCTTTAACAGAAATATTGATTCTTTTAATACTTTGATGTGATTTTTAAAGTAAGGAATACGGGATCGCAAAAATAATTGAATGAACCTTATAAATATTGACGAGAGTGACTTCTTCCTCACCAACTTCAATTGAGGCATCGTAATTAACATACTTTCAAGATGATGTGATAGATGGTCATAAAATTGAGTAGTCGCTTTTTATAAATAATTAAAATGCGAAGTTAATCATCAGGGACAAATTTGTTTGAATTATTGTTCCGACGACGTCATATTGAAAGTAACGGATTTCGGTTCTTTTGTAACCAAAAAAAAAAGTTATAGACTGTACGTAGTCGGTGCACAGCAAAGAACGTACGATTTAGAATAGAGCCCACTACCATCAGGAAATAGGTGGTATTTATATGATTTCGAAATGAATATCAAACATCGAACACCCAAACCACTTCAAGAATGTTGTTATGGATTATAGAATTAATCGTTTCACTATAAAAGTTTATTCAATTTCTTATTCAGCAGAGTCACATTGGCATCACAGATGTGAACTTATGGCTCTTTATATATTTTTAAATAAGCGGATATTTCCTTTAAAAGATTTCGTGCATAATGTATACGGGATATTTTTCATGATAACACGTATTACGAAATTAATTTTATTATAAAAAGCAACATCGAATTCCATGCTGTAAATAAAGAATTGAAACACGTTTTTGTAAAAGTAACAAAAAGACTATTTGTATGACTGTTATTAAGCTATACAGTGGCGATCAAAAGTATTGCATTACCTGGATAAATATTTTCAAATTATAATATCTTGTGATTCTGGAAAATACTTATTTAATAGATTTATCATACCTTGCATTTGTCACCTGTATCATCTCTTTTTTATTTATTCTAAAATTCATTCAAAAATAAAAATAATTTTCAAAACCCGTGATGCATTTCTTTTGAAAGATAAACATAAACAATATACACAAAATTTTTCTCCTTCCAAGCACACCATATAGAACATATAAAAAGGGTACCTTATGGCATATTCTGCTATCAATTTTTTAAGCTATCTATGGTATATTTGTCTAAAGAAAAAAGAGCCTGAGTTTGCGCGCTACTTGGAGAAGGATATCCTTCCCGTTATGTGGCAAATAAAGAAAATATTTCATAATCAATGGTTATAAGAATCAAGTAACGTAAGATAAAACTGGCACATTTAATAATCAACCAAAATCTGGACATCCAAGACTCATAACTGACCATATTGAATGAAATGTTATGCAGCCAATTACAACAGGCAAGTGTACAAATGCATTTGCAATCCAAAATTGTTGATCAAATTAATGTTGGCAAATGCACAATAAAGAGAATTTTACACTGAAATGGGTGGGTGCACAAGTGAAATGCAAAAAAAAACCATATCTCAAAAAAAAAACACAGAATTGCCTACATGAAATTTGCAAAAAAAATATCAAAAATGGACCATAGAAGATTGGAACAAAGTAATCTGGTCTAATGGATCAAAATTTATGATTTATGGATGAAGAACCATTATGTGATTATCATGTCAAACCTACGGTCAAATTTGGATGGGACAGTATTATGGTGAGGGGATGTTTCACTTCTGATGGAGCTGATAACATAGTTTGAATTTATGGACATATTAATGGTGATTTATAGTGGTAATACAACATGATTTCAATTTTAAAAAAGTATATTTTTTTTGCGAAACTTAGAAGTTTCGTTCCTTCTATTTTAAATATCATTTGTCAACAGTTATAGTTTTAAATAAAATAATTAAAAAAAAAATCCAAAAAAAAAAAAATTTTTAAAATTTTTTTTTTTTAAAAATGCTGTTGCATTATTTATTTTTCATATTGAACAAGATTCTAATAATTCCATGCATTTGAATTAATGTATTTTATTTTATTTTTTTGTTATCTATATTGAATAATAAGTATACTACCATCTTGTATACCCTCCCTGAGCCTTGATTATGTCATGAATTCTTTCTGGTATAGAGTAAATCAAATTGATATGGGTATTAACATCAATTTCTTGCCAAACTTGAATTTTGTTTCACAGATCTTTCTTACCCAAAATTTGTTCAGGAAGATGATGAAGATGATGATCTATTTCATTTCATAAATTTTTATAGGGTTTAGATCTGGGATTGAGCAGATCAATCCAAAACTTTAATTTTATGATTATGAAACTATTGCTTTGTTGAATTTGCTATATGTTTGAGATCCCTATCATGCTAAAAAATTATATCTTTGATAGCAAAACCTTGAACTTTGATAGTATTCATAAGGTCTTCTTGCAATATTTGCTGATATAACTCAGCATTCATTATTCCATCAATTTTACAATAACTACTAGTATCATGTGACGAAAAGCATCCACATATCATTACAGATCTACTTTCAAATTTCACAGTTGGCTAATATGGAATTAATTTAATGGCTCTGTGGGATATTTCAAATAATATTGTTTACCATCTGACCCAAAAACTTTGAATTTTGATTCGTCAGACCATATAACCTTTAAACAATTGTAATCCATCCAATTTTCATTTTTTTTTTTTTTTTTTTAATTCCAACGGAGTCATGTTTTATTAAACAATTTATTTTGCAGTTAATAAAAATTAAACAAATTTATAAGAACTACAAATACATTTAATACAACTGGCTATGGCTAAATTAATAACACAACGG